TCACGGGCGCGACGGCGCCGACGCTGTTGCCGTTCAGCATATTGGCAAAGTTGAACGCGGGGCCTTCCGGGTTGAGCGTCGCGACAAACACCTTGATGCCGAGGGCCGTGAACGCTGCGAGCTCGCTCTGGAAGGTCGCAAGGAGCTGCTTGGCGTCCTTGGGGCTCTGGTTGTTGCACGCGTCGACGTACCCCGGGGTGCAGCACTGCGGCGATGTTCCGTGGTCGGCCGCGCCCGCGTTCGGGCGAATCCACTGCGGCCAGTCGGTCGCGTAAAAGACCGCCTTGGGCTTGACCTGCTTGATCATCGCGACCACGTCGGCGTGCCCCGGGGTGCATCCGAGCGGCGGCGTGCCGTTGCGCGTCTTGAAGACAATGGTCGGGAACGGCGCCGACTTGTTGACGGCTTGGCGGTAAAGGTACGAGAAGCGCGGCTTGAGCATGTGGCCATGCGAGTCGCCAAAGACGATCACAAGATTGTCTTTTTGGCCCATGTTCAAAATCATGTTTTCCGACGTCGGGATGTACGGCGATCCAGCGTCGACCGTGTGAAATTCCGGTCCGTCCGGTTGGAAGTCGCCTTTGGCGGCCAGAATCTTGGCGACGGTCGGCGACTCGTACATGGGCGGCTTGCTCATGTTGGGCACTTCGGCCGCGGTGCCATTAATGTGTGTCGCCACCGGCGTCAGAATCGGACCGGACGAGATCGGCTTGGGCTGCGACAGCACCGAAAACGTCGTGGGAAAATGCGTCATGACAAGCCCCAGCACGAAGAGGATCGCCATGCAAAGCGAGAGGCACGGCACGACGAGCTTGTGCTTCCGGCGGCGCAGAAGGTTCTCAACGCCATACAAGGTGCACACACTCGCGGCGACCGAGTAGACCATCATCATGTACGGCGACTGGAACCACGGGCGCAGCGCGTCGTTGGGAAAGCGGGCCTTGGCGTACACGAGCAGCGGCCAGTGCCAGAGGTACAGCGCGTAGCTGATGTGGCCAACGAAGATGACCGGGCGCAGCGAGAGCGTCCATCGGTGGAGCGGCGTGTCGGGCCCCGAGAGGATCAAGAGCGCGGCGCCGACCGTCGGGAGCAGCGACCAATACCCGGGAAAGGCCATCGATTCGTCAATGCAGACAAAGCCGACGACAATGAGCGCCAAGCCAACCGCGCCGACCGCCGTCGCACCGACCGTCGACACGGACGCGAGGCGGGGCACGGACGGGTCGAGGCTCATGTAGGCAAGGAGGCCGCCCATGGCCATTTGCCAGAACCGGCAGAATGGAAAGTAGAAGGACCAGTTGTTGTTGCCGTCGTGGCCGAGCATCGCAATGTTGAGCGCAAAGCTCGCGACCAAAATGACCACCTGGCCGGCGACCGCGGCCTTGGCCGGGAGCTTGGCCAGCAGCGCAACGACAAACGGCCAAAAGATGTAGAACTGCTCTTCGACGCCGAGCGACCAGAGGTGCAGGAGCGGGTCTTCCTTGACGCTCGATGAAAAGTACGTTTGCTTGAGCAAGAGCACTTGGATGTTGGCGCCAAAGACGGTGCCGGCCGCGAGCGTCTTGGCCATGCTCACGAGCGCCTCCTCGAGGTACCAGAGACACCCGGCGACGATTGTAAACGTGAGCACGAGGATCAACCCCGGAAAGATGCGCCGGATACGCCGGCTGTAAAAGTTGGCGTACGTAAACTTGCCTTGGCGCGTCTCCTTGAAGAGGATGCCGGAAATGAGGTACCCGGAAATGACAAAAAGATGTCGACGCCGGTAAAGCCGCCGGGAATGCTCGTGGGATACGCGTGAAACACCACGACCGGGATCACGGCGAGCGCGCGGAGACCGTCAATGTCGGGCCGGTACGAGAGCGAGTGGGTGGGCGCCGGCAATGCCGGTGGCGGCGCGTCGACAAGCACGCTGACCATGCTCTGGCTGTCGTCGCGGGGCGTCTCGACCTCGTAGTGCGCGGCCGCGACCGGGCTGCGAACGTCGTCGTCGTCGTCGTCGTGGCGCAACGGAGGCGCCGTCGTCGGTGGATAGGCCATCGGTGTGGTCGGCGGCGAATGTGAAAATGAACTCGAGAGCGCAACGATGCACGGGTGCCATTCCCACCAGCTGACCGCCTGTCGCGCGACAAAAGATCGCAGAGGTGTCATACGGCGGCTGGCCACAAACCGTGCGGACCGGTTGAACCGTGTGACTGTAGTATGCAGCACCGTGTCGGCTTGCGAGTCACACTACAACTGGCGAGCGACGCTGGAGGGTCGAGGCAGACAATGTGTCCACACACGACGTGTGCAAGACGAAGGCAGTGCGCCGTGGCCGTCGTCGTACAGTACAGTCCGACCCTATCGCCGCTTCGCACGGCTGCACCCAACGGATGGCGGCAGCGATCGGTCGCCGCCAAATTTTGTGGCAACCAACGACGCCGTGCATCCACTCGTACAGTGTACTTTACAGTGTACTGATAGACTTGGTATGAATATGCAGTGCATGCCTCGTCGACTGCAATTGTACCATCGAATCGAACATCTTGGAGGCAGGACGCCTATCAGGCAGTACAAAAGCTGCATCTTCAGTACCGTACTACGGCGGTCTCCCCAGCACCACCGTCCGAATGCATCTGGCTCGCCATGACGACTGTGTAAGAACCAACCATCATCGAGGTGGCTCTTGATGGCAATTGAGTTTAGGAGATCGGGTTGGATTGGGCTGCAGAGGAGACGACGCTCAATTTTCTCTGGCACCGAATACGAACAGGTTCGATTCTGCTAGCTGGTCGCTGGATCGAACGGAAGTGGGCATTCCACCCCCTGGGTTGGAATACCTATCGTCGTACGCGCCACACCTTCGAGGAAAATGGGTGATTCGATTACTGTAGCCGCTGGACGCAGTGAGTGGGAACGTATCGCACGCATCTCTTTCATCAGAAAAGAAACTCGGGGCGCGGCAATGAATGGCCTGCTGCTGCTCGCGTCGTTCGCTCGCACAATCGAAGGAAGCGTGGAGAAATGCATGCTCTTGATTGAAGTATTCAGCAAGCCGCTTTCAATCGACAAACATCTGGCGTGTGGCGACCGTCGGGCAAAGCCAAGGGAATAGAAACGGGCGACGTAGACACAATCCACCCATGAACTAGGTTGAGCGATATTGAATTGTTCCACACGGTTCGAAGAATAAAACGTGTGTTTCAAACAACGAAGCGTGTTTTATTACGGGCACTTGATGGTCGGCTAGCCTCCGTGCCCGAGTGACGTGCTGTATTGGTCGGACCCTGAGCAGACCAGCGTCAAGACGCCATCGACCATCGCATTGTGTAGCACGCCTTGCATGGCCACCACGCTGCCTGCGCCTAATCGTGGGATCTGAGCATTCGAGCAAATTTCATTATTTTTAGTTTTATCACATACAAAAATCAAGTTTTGCTGTTTCGAACGCCTCATTTTTCTTCTACTTGGCATAGAGATGACATGCCCAATAGAAATACCAAGATCAATTTTAAAAGCGCCTCAAAATGTTGATTGAAACGCTCTTTGAAACATCGAATCACACATCATCACGCCGTCATGTCATGCATTTCTGGTGTCCAACGGCGAGAAATGTACCGCAGCATTTCATTACTTGCCAGCAATTAGTTTGCACCAACCGACGCGCTGCTGAAAGGAGTCAAGGTTTCCATGGCAAAAGAGAGCGGTCAAATGCAAGGATGTGGGGGGGTACGGGCCGGTCGGAGCTACTGGGCGGTCGCCAGAGATATGCTACTGGTACGTTTCCCGTCATTTTTCTTGTTCTTCTTCGTTCCATTACACTGCCTTCGGAAAGGTCGCATCCGCGTGCGAGGGGCCCGTGCCCCAGGGAAGGAATGGTGCGAGCTACTCGTTGAGGTGACGACTTGATCGAGCATCATGCTCAACCTTCCATGACCCTTGAAGTGATTCGAGGCCATCACGTTGTGGGATTGTTCCACACAAAAGTGCAGTACTGTACAACACAGCTGGATTCATGGCTACGCGTTGGATCCATGCGTTGGATCGTTGCGGTCGTCGGCAGCTGTCCTGTCCTGTCCAAATGCCAACTTGAACCGTGGTACTCGAAAGACACATGCTGCCGGGACCGATAAACCCTTCCAAGGCAAATATCCTTGTGCACTGGCCGCACAATCGCTCTGCGGCCGGGGAAAAGACGCGTCGGCTCGAAACTTTCGCGTCCGTTTAAGCCGAAATGAGTGTGATGACTAAAATACAATCTCGATGCAAGACGTTGCGTGGCGATCAATAAAAATCCTATAGGTTTTTGGCCTTGATACTTATATCACCGCACGCATCACAACGGATCGACGCCCAGATCTTACCACGTCTGCGGGTCAGCGCGGCAACGGAGTCGTCAGATTTTCTGCTCTGCTGATATGTAGCTCCTCTGAATAGTAGCTCCTCTGAATAGCGTCTCCAATCGCAGCGCCCACTATCCCGAATCAGAAAACTACACGTTCGAGTGGTTTCGATCACTTAATCACCGAATACATCAATTTGGCGTCGGAAGATGCTAGTAGATAGGCAGGAACCCAAGTTTTAGCGCCGCGCACCTATCATCTCGGGCTGGCTACAGGCTTTCGGTCGGTACGTAGTACCGATACCAAGCTAAGCAATAGACCAAACTTCCAATGTTCAGCCAGATTTCCACCTTGCCAGATGCTCCTCCTCGTCTATTTTTCTCCAAAAACGAAGTCGACGGCCGACCAGACCAGATCGGATGTGTATTGGAGCCCCACCCGCCCAGAGGTGGCCGAGGCTATCTCGCTACGGGCTGCCATTTCCGGAATGGCTTGAGCGTATCTGGTTTTTATTCTCTTATGGCTGCTTGAGCTTCTCTTCTTCTACTCTTCTGGTGTTCGTGTCTGCTCGTCCCATCGCGCGAGGGGCACCTCTTTCTCTTCTTGAAAATGGTCCAATCTGTCCAAGCCTTGGATTGTCCTTAATGCGGCAGTAGCTGCACTGGTGTGCAATGGATTGACTCAAAGTTACAGGATCATATTCAAAGTACACTTTATGGTCTTGAGAACAACTCGGAGCGTGTGTGTTGGGTGCTACATGCTGGTTCTGTACAGCTAGCTACTTGTCGGTCGACGCGGGTTCGTTGTCGCTAGCCTTGTCCTTGTGCACGATGGGCGCACAGAGAATGTCCATGATCTCGTCCATGCCGTAGCCCTCCATGTTGGCCTGCACGCACAGCCAGTACGCACGCGCGAGCTGCTGCCGGACATACTTGAAGCTACGCGACAAATCCTCATAAATCCAAACAAATCCAAGATAAAATCGGCAACACAAAGGCGTACCGCGCACCCTTGACGACGTGCGCCACGTCATAGTCGAGCTCAAACGGATCCTCAATCGCGAGACGGTGGTGCTGCTTCCACTGCGGCTTCTCGGCCTTGAGCAGCGTCCTACGCCACGTGACCGTCACATGCACGGCAAGACAATGGCTTGTTGTACCGGCCCATGCGCACCGAGACCACGTGGTGGGCGTAATCAAAGCCCACGTCGCCATAGTACTTGAAAAACCCTAGTCATCGACACAAAGTATCAATCTTTCAATTCGACTATGACAGCAAAAAACACGGAAACACGCACCGAGGAGGAGCGACCCGACGCTCGATCGGTTCCACGCGCCAAACGAGCGCAGCGCGTGCCAGTGCTCGTCGTGGACCGGGTCGAAAAAGTAGGTTTCTACGGGGAATTGAAGTCGCCATTTTTTTGGGGTTGGCATCATTTTCGTACCGGCCTCGCCAAAGGCGACATTTGGCAGACGCGGGCCGTCGGCTTGGTCGCGCCCCTTGAGCATGCAGGGGCGGTACGGACACGTCGCGCTCGGATCCTTCGTCGTCTCCGTCTCGTCGCGGTAGCAGCGGCACCAGATTTCCCCTACATTGATTTTCGCGCCAATTTCAAAATATGTTTTTTGTTGAAAATTTTCTACCTTGCCACTGCGGCGGCAGCGTCTGGAGCACGGGCAGCACCGGCGGACTCGTGCGCTAGCGAGTCGAGCGGCATGTGAACATATCCAGTGGATCGATGGATAGATGGATACCTGGAGGTAGTGGATGAGCAAGAGGAGGTAGCCGTACGAGCTCAATGTGCCTTGGGCCGCGTTGTTCATTTCGCGCGTCTTGACCCAATACTTGATAAAGAAGGCCAGAATGCGCACGCGTGGATCTAATAGCGGCAGATTGTACAACTTGTCCTCAATAAAAAAAGACAAATTGTACCGGCAAGGGCATACGTCCGCAGCAGCCGCGTGTTGCGCAGCGCCAGTGCATTTTCCACTATAGAGTATCAACCGTCGACGACTTGATACTTCAATAATGCAAGGGCGCACCACAAATGTCGCAGTCGATGCCCGACGTCGCGTCCTTGAACATGACGATCGGGATGCGCGCCGTGAGACGCCCCGTATCTAATCCCATTCGTTGACATCGACTTGAAAACTTAATAAGTTTCCGTACCAATGTCGGAAAAGAGCTCCGGGTCGAGCTTCTCGACAAGCGCCTTGAGCATGTCTTGCTTTTGAATCGGCGTGAGCTCGACGCCAGTCGGAAGCACCTGCATTTACCCACTCAGCATCGATCAAGGTATCAATGGATCAATCAACCACGTACCAAGCACATGTCCATGTCGCTGTCTTTCGTGCCGAAAAAGTTGTTGGACGACCCAAAGACATCGAGACCAACCTATGTACATGGATCTTTGGTTGCATCCAGTGTCTCATCCAATGCTTACCCGGTGGCCTTGAAAGCTCAGCGCGCCCACGACGCCGCTCACACGCTCAAAGATCGCTTGGCGCACCGCTGTAAATTCAGCCACGTTGGGGATCAGCGCTTCGGTCTTGGCATGCTATACACCATCACACAAAAATATCAACACTAACCTCAAAGGAAAGAGCGCTGGTCGCACCAAGTAGGTCGAAAGTGCGTGCTCAAACCCCGGTGCCCACGGCGCGACGCTGTCTATGTTGATTGCGTCAACACGCAAGAACCATCAACGACAAAATTTACCGCGGAGGGGCAGACCCAAATGCGCTTGCCAGTACTCTTGCTTGGCGTCAAGGGTCTCAAAGTACCGGTCGCTCACCTACAGCAGCGGTCCATGTCACGTGTCCATTCGGAACTTTCAAAAATATAGAAATGCATCGACCGACCCCGCAGTAGAGGCGAGACTGGTACATGGCGACGAGCTTTTGCACCGACGGAACGAGGCTTTCCCACACGTAGCCTATCCGGGCCCATAAATCAGCGACAACACAATATAACACTCGCAGTTTACGGTTGGTCTCGGTCACGTGGAGGAGCGTGCGGACGGCGCCGTGCCACCCATCGAGCGATTCTTCGTTCTCCATGTCCCACCTAGAGCGTGTTCTACCTCTAGTATTGAAATAGGAGGGCGTACGATTGCACTTCAAACACGAGGCTCAGGAGGTGCTCCATGTGCATGCCAAAGAGGCTGGCTTGGCTCGGAAAGGCCGTCGGCAGCACCTCGACAACCTACAACGCCGTCAGATACATAGGGCGCGACAGTGGCGCCTACACGCAGCAGCCCGAGGACGGCCGAGACGATCAAGCCCACGTCCTGCGCGTCGGTGGCGGCTTCGATGCGATGGCCGAGCGTCTCGAGTGCTTCGCTCCAGTACCTAGTGAAAAAAAGACATAGGTACAGGGATCGAGGACGTAATTCGACGCACTTTTCATCCACGAGCACCTTGAGCGGACCGCTGGATGCAAAGATGATGTCAGGGCCCGCGTCTTCGTTGAACGCGCGAAACTCAAACTCGCCAATGGTCTTGGGCGCCTTGACTTGGAGGCGCGTCGTGACCTACGTCGTCCTCGTCGCGTCGTCGAGCTCCAAAGGTGCTAGAAGTACCAGCGGGAGGCGCTTGCGCAAATCAAACTGCAGCGAGCGAAGAAAGATGGGCCGATTCTGGTTGGCGTGGCCGGCACGGAAGAGCCCCATGACCAGCGAGAGCTCCTTCTCGACGAGCTGCGCCGGAAGCGTCACGGCGACGCGGATGGACTGGTTCGGCGTCGTCGTTGGCTGCACAACAATGCCCACCTCGAGCTTCATCGGCGGCTCGTGGTGCGGCTACAGTAGACGCATGTCGTCGTCGCCATGCGTGTGCATCAAGCCCTACCGCGGGGCGGCCATGGCCGAGATGCAGCCCTGCCATCGCATGGTCCAAGCTAGAGGTAGAGGCCATGAGGCCCATGCAGGTATGCCGCAGCGTACTTGAAGTTGAAGCCGGGCGGCGGTGGTCCGCCCGTCGTCGTCGGTCGCTGTTGCCGCATTTTCGAGCAAATGACCAAACATCCCAAACTCGATGGTCCTCTCGCATCGAATCTGACAGGTTGTGACGGCAATCGATATTTTGGAATAGGCGCCTTGTTTTAAGGGAATGGTCCGGTTGCACCACGGTTACAGAGGCGCCAGCCGGTTTTAATCCGCTTCGATGGTTCGGTTGTATCACGGTTACGGCTACCTTAACCGGTTCCTTAACAACTTCTCAGTCATCTTCCTCGACCACGTGTTGTAGGGTGAAACCTACAGAGCTCAGTCGACCAGCGCTCCAAGTACCAGCAAGGTGACTCCGTCGGCACTAGCGATCGCACCGACGTCGATACCCGGTACATCCAAAAGGCTTTTGCGGTCATCTCTCACAATCTGCAAGGTGTGTTGTGTCTGGTTCAGCCATGTTTGGCCAATGCAAGCGTGTTTTACTGGAGAGTTATGGCTCCAGGAAGTGAGTAGTCAAGTGTCTGTGTAGTCCGTGTGGCGTCGATAACATAGACCATACATTAGCGTCCAGAATTTCGATCTTGGACATCACTGGGAGTCCCGAAATAGCCTCGCGAGTCTACACCCTGGGGCAGAACTACGGTCGACAGTACAGTTGGATCGCACGCTTGGCACCCCCATGAGCCCTCTTCGAACGTAGTAGGGCTAGCTAGTACAAAGTTTACTACCTACCCAACCCACTGGATACGTTTCGAGACTCGATTCACCACAAATCTCAAGAAACATCGCAGACATTGTCAACAAATGTGAGTTGTTTGCGGTGGCCGTTTCCAATACATTATACTCTATATATATATTCAGTATCGCGCCGAGGTCCGTGCATGACCACCGTCGTCTGCTTCTGGAATGCAACGATCGGGGCATGCGCCAAGGAGCACTGGGCGTCGTGCGGCTACACGTGGCTCAACGTCGCACCCGTTGGTCTCTTTGCCACCCTGTGGCTTTGCTACGGCGTCCGACTGCTCCAGCGCCACGGCTTTCTCGCCCGGTTCCTCCAGCTCAACGCGTCGACGATCCACGACCAAGTCGCGCAAGGTATTCCGGTCGATTGGTGCAGCGTGGGTGCGACGATGTGCGTAGGTATCGCGATTGCGCTTTCGCAGCGCAAGTTTGGGTCGGACCAGCAGCTCCAGCTCCAGCGCTACGTCAAGCTCTGCGCCATGTGCTCCGAGTGGCCGACCTACACCTTCGCGCCGCTCTCGATTGCGTTCAAGGTCTCGGGCACGCCGCCAATCGTCGACAGCCTTCTGTTTTCACTCAACTTTACCCACGAAGTACGTGCATTCGTCGACTTGGGAATGCACAACATGTTCTAGTCGTGGAACCTTGGGATGGCCGTCGGCATGGGCATGCTACTGCTCTTGCTACGGCAGGTCCATGCCGCGTCCCGCTACCGTACGTGTGGATGTATGGCGTAGGATGGATAAGATTTTGTCGTTCGTAGATGCACCGATCCTCATGCGCTTTGTCTACCCGATGACATTCGACTTGTTGTACATTCCCATCATGTCGACATTCTTGCGCCTCGGCACGTGCGTGACGGGCTACGAGCATTTGGCGCTGCCCGGTGGCGCCACGTGCGACTGTCTCGATCGGTTTGGAATATTTTGGGTGCGTGTTTCTTGAATTTTCAACAATAGTGGGGTTCACGCCACGTAGGCGGTCGGCTTTGTCGGGTTTTTCGTCACGTACCGCAGTGCGCTTTTGTACAAAATGCACATTGAGCCCCTCGGCGAGACCATGGACTTTCGGTTCCAGCCTGGATTCCAGCTGTTGATGGTCATGGCGCGCACATGTACCCGGATTTGATCCATTTTCCGTGCTTTGCCAGACCACATGGCCTCCACTCGTAGTGTACCCGATGATCACGATTTTTGTCAACAACCAAGACACGACGCGCGCCGGCGGCATCGGGCTCACGACGTTCTTGCTCGCGGTCTCGACGTTTCTTTTGCTCTACTCGCACAAGACCCAGCCGGTACCCCACACCCAACGTTATCGTGGTTTTATCCATCTTATTTGTACGTGATGTCATTAGTGCATTGGCAGCGGCCGCATTCCCAACAACCTGCGCGTACTGACCTTTTCAAGCGCGATCTACACGGCCTTTTGCGTGCTCGTCGTGCTGGCTCTGGAAGCGCCGATCCAGAGTTTGTACTATGCCCTCTTGCCGCTCCCGATGGTGTGGGTGGGCGCATGGAAGGTCAACGACCGGCGTGCGCTCCTATATCACATTCCTGGTGTCCGCATCCCCGACTTGCTGCGGCATCCGTCGCCTGACGTGAGCTTGGTCGGCGCCATCGCTGCGCTCCACCTCAATCCCAACAACGTCCATGAGCGAGATCTCGGACCGATCTTGGAGCAGCTCGACGGCCTCGCGGCGTCGGTGACAGCAACACCGCTCTGCCGCGCCTACGCGCTCCGGACGCTTTGGTTCAGCCACATTGAGGTACGACAGATGCGATGTCCACAACGTCGTCAAGTACCAATGTGCTAGAACTTTATTAAGGCCGACGTGCTCACGATTGGCGATGACGCGCCAATTGGCCATGACCTTTGGCTCAAGGACCGCGCCAACATTGAGCGGCGAGGCTCCCGCCATGACCGTAGAACGCACCAGTCGAAAAAGCGAGTGAAAATATCGACCGTGACCACCACGTCAGGTACAACACATAGATACATCGACGACAGAGATCGAGGACGCGGCGTCGTAGCTGGGCCCACCATGGACCTCCTCCCG